GAAAAACATCATTCATAAGATGTTGAAAAGTAGGTGGTATATTTGTGAGTCCAAAAGGTATGACATTATATTCAAAGTATCCATATCTTGTTCGAAATGCAGACTTCCATTCATTTCCTTCTTTAATGCAAACCAGATTATATATTCTTTATACATCTATTTTAGTATAGATCTTAGTTTGATTTAATTGATCAAAAAGTCCAGATATCAAAGGCAGAGGATATCTATTCTTGATGGTAATCTTGTTGAGTCCTCAATAATCCAGACACATTTGCAATGATCCATCTTTTTTCTTCACAAATAAGATAGTAGCTCCTCCAAAAGATTTTAAATGGCATATGAAATTTTTAGCTAAGTTCTCATTAATGTATTTCTTAAGTTTAGCCAACTCATTTTGTAATAAACTATAGATTGGACCAAATAGCATGTGAGTTCCTTCTTTAAGATGGATTGAGCAATCATATGGACAATGCTTTGAGAGAATATCTGCATTCTTCTTCTCAAAAACATCTTGAAAATCTTGATATTGACTAGGAATTTTATTTGAAATCTTTCCATTATTTAAAATGGATGTAGCGTAAATAATAAAAAAATGATCTTTCTTTTGCAATATGCAAAAAAACTTTTACACCTACAAGTATAAGTTAGGCTATACTAGACTCATGGCTTTCTACTAGATTAGAAAAACTATCAATGAAGTTTGAAGAAAAGTCAAGTTTATAAGAAATCCGATCTATCACAAGATTATACTTTTTTAGCCACAATAAATCTAAAATAAAAGAGATCTAATTATATTAAAAATTACACGACTATCATGACCATTTATTATTACATCTATAGAAAGTATTTCATGAGTAACAACTCCAAAAGATAATAGATGGCCGTCTATAACTTCTACGTATACAAGTTTAATTTTTTGTACTAACTGTATATTATGACTTTTAACAATTTCTTCATCTAAAAAATAAGCTAAGGCTCCTGAATCTATTAAGGAGAGGCTTTATGATTATTAGATTCTAAATGCACATCTATTGTAAAACAAAGAGAGGGTTCTAAGGAGAGAATAGGACCTTAATTAGGAATTGTACAAGATTCCAGCCACAAGGTCCCTATTATAGTTGGACAAATTCATTTTTCGACATGTTTTCATCTTTAACAAGAGTACTTCTCATTTTGTAGCTGCATCATTTAAAACTTACTGCATCATTTTGCATGTCTTCTACTTCCAAATGTTTAGATTGAAAAGTCGTTGGTGTTGTCATTGAATTGTAATAATATTGAGGTTTTCTTATGCAATTCTCAGATCAAAACTTAAAAAGCCGATTGTCACATTTTACAGCAAAGTCAATTGTTTGACTCAATGTCTAAGGATTAGATAAATTGAACATCATTTTTTTACTTCATATTATAATCTTTAGAAAAATTGGCTAATGAGTGCTACATCATTCAATATGATAGATAGTCTATTCAATAAGACTTTGGATTTTTTAAGGTGAAGAGAATCTAGATATGTCAAAAATAACTCTAAATATTCAATGAAGAAGAAGGCTTAGTCTTTGGAGAAGCCAAATTAAAGACAATGATGGCTAAAATAAGAGAGAAGGCTAAGTAGGAATAGTTGAAGTATACAAAATGTAATAGGCTTAATTACAATATCAATTATTATTTTATTCTCCATCCTAAAAATTAACCTATTTTAAAAATATATATATATATATATATATATATATATTAGATGCAAAGATTGTAGAGCTTGAGAAGAGATAAAATATTATAGATTTACTTGATCAAGTTATCAAGGTTGGAATAACTTTTTAAATTAAAGTCAATGGTTTTGTAATAGATTCTTATATATTTAGTATCTATAGAAAATGATGGCATCTACTTTTAAACATGCTTAAATAATAGATATGTTGGTGATATCAATAGTAGATGAATTTAAAGATATTCCAAATGATAGATAGAGTGACTTATCAAATTAAATTAAATAATTATAGTTTTCTTTATTATTTGATCTTATAAATAATATTTTTGATATTTTGTCTCATTTTTTAATAAAAATACCATTTAAAAGAGTTTTTGTTAGAGACTTAATTTACACTTTGGCTTTTAAAGTATTACAAATTCCTATATATTCCTTAGTAGAGATGCCAATTAAAGATTTTATACCATGTCAATTTTTTCATCTAGCTAGCAATATGCTAAAAAACAAGGTATCCATACCATCTATAGAAGTATTTTAAGCTATTATTAAGTCTTCGACAAAAATATTTTTAGCTAGATTATAAATTAAGCTTATATTTATAGCCATGGCACTATTTAATAAAGATATTTTATAGCAAGCAATACTACATCCTTCATTTATTGTATCTTCAAGGTGTATTTATTATGTTTTTTGATTACATATTTAATGTTGATTTTTGGCATTTGATCTATTTTATATAACAATCTTTATTTATACAATGTCTTTTCTTTTATTATTTTTTATAAAATACTTTTAAGTATATAAAAACTAAAGTATATACTTAAAAAATATACTATTAAAAACTAAAACTAAAAATAATAAAATTTATTATAAAATTAGACTAATAAGTTATTTTTATAAAATTTACATAATCCAAATATATATTTTGTAATTTTTTTAATAAGATAATATATATATTTTTAATTATTTTTATTATTTAAAAAAATAGTTACTAAAATATTTTAATAAAATCATTATTAATTTTTAAATAAAACAATTTTAATATTTTTATAAATATTTTATAGGTATTTTTTATATTCAATTCTTTAAAAAAAAAGTGATTCTAAAAAAATAAGTTATAAAATATATTTTGTAACTACTTTCTATTAAAATATGTTTTAAAGCTATTCTTTTAAGAAACTTTGATTTGAGTCATGATTGTAGAAGATTACATTAGATAATTAAAAAATAAAAAATTTATTTTTATTACATTCTATTGATAAAATTGAATATTAATAATATATTATAAATTGGCTATTTTAAGCTAAAATTTCTTGAGGTTGTATGCAATCAAAGAAATATATATATATATATATATATATATATATATATATAGTTGTACAATATCCTTTAAAAAATGCAAGTAAAATCTGTAAACATGGAATTAAACAATAGCTACATTATACTTTATAATATTTAAATTTTATTCAAAATATGTTATTTAAAATTTTCCTAAAATAATTTATTTTTAATGTATTTCTTGTTCTCAATATAAAGTTTACCTTACTTCGGATTCCTTGTCATATATTTTTGTTTAGTTTTGTATCTGATTGAAATAATATTTTATTCCAAAAACCTTTTATTCTATTATCTAATTTCATGTGTACTTGTATATAAATAAAAGAAGGAAAAAAATTGTTCTAAGTAGAAAAGTGGCATCTTCATCAAAAGATTCTATGAAGCATGAAACACAAATGCATACTACAAAAAAAATTATGTTCAAAATTCTTTAAATGATTATTTATTATTTTAAATGTTCAACACTCTTAAGTATAATTACTTCATGTTTTTTGTTTTATCTTTTCCTATCTAAAAACTTTTACATATACACAACTATATACACACATATATACGTATATATAAAGATCCAACTTCTTCTAGCAAAATAAACTGAGGAAATCTTTGCACTTAGGAAAGAAGATAAGAGGTGTCAAGTTCAAAATTTATCTTTGGTTGAAATCAAAGAACTTTCTTTGATTAATTTTATATATAACAAAACTAACCAAATGAAGTAAAATAAAATTCTTTCTACATGATATCAGGAAGGTTGTAGCAATTGTAAATCAAATTCCCAATCAGACACTAAAGAATACAAATATTTAGTACTATTATTCATCCAAATATCATTTGACTAAGTTTAGAAATTTCGAGTATACTTGCTCCAATTGAATATATAGGTTTTTAAATGCTGTGAGAGTAGCATACTAAATAGTAGTCCAAGAATAAAATTTTAATTAGTCTATAAAGTAGATTATATTAAAATTAGAATCTTGTACCACCACCTATATTCAAACACAAGCTTTATTGAAACATGCTAGTCTTCTAACCATTAAAAAATGAAAATGAAAATAAAAATAATATTTTCATCTAACAAGAAACATGACATTTACAAAACTTTTGAACACAACTCTTGAGACATTTCAGAGTGGTAAAAACACCCCCAAGTAGTAAAATGGAAGCTGGAACTACTTCCATCAAACCTCTCACACAGAAATCCCAAAGTCCGACAACATGCAAACGATATGGGACACGCTGGTGACTTGCCAGGCCATGACCCCAAGAGACAAATAGACACCGAAGCCAAAAAGCACAACGCTACTGCGTCTCTATCGCCACCAGTACCGACAGTGTAGAACTGATGGGAAACCATGCAGAGAATATATTTTCTTCTGAACGACGCTCACAACGCCTCGTTGCATCGATCAGAAAGCGGTTCGAATGCTGCAGTTCCTTGGACCGACCAGAAAGGCTCGTATGCATGAAATCCACGGCAAATAGGGGCTAAAGGCTGCCCTACTAGTGTGGAGATTCTTCAATGTGAGAGGTGGTTGTTGTTGAACTTTGGCAGACGTCTCATTGGGTTCAAAACTCGCCACGAAAGTGCTCTTCCTCGTTGGCGGTACTAATGCTCAACCAGTTCATCGTGTGAGCTGACCTATCACCACCACATCCAATGTGTTCTCTGCAAGTTGGATTCCCTCGACTTAACGGATTGGAATATTGGGTGGTTGGAATCGTGCTGTTCACCGTGGGAGCTCGATGAATCTAGTTGGGCTCACCGAGGTAATCAATAGCAGCTTCTTGTTTCTTCCCGTTCGAAGAAGTTTCTGTGACTGTTTGTTGAAGCTATGTGTCTACGTCTATCAACCAAATGTAAGTACTCCACGGCCAAGGAGCAGGATAAGCTGTACTTTCATGAAATAAGATATGACATGCTCGGAGAGATAGTTCCAAACATTTTCTCGCAAATGGGAAATAGTAGAACAGAGAAAATTATCAAAGAATATTAATTTGTTTCGATTACAAAATCATTGTTTCCAATCTCAAATTCTAAAATGGTATATTTGTAACAATGCCACCTAGGAGGTAGCCGAGAATAAAAGATCGTCCTATTTCTAATCGTCTCCTATTCCAAGCATTGGGTGGTTTTCCAGTATTCATTAACAAGTTTTAAAAAGAGTGAGTTAGGATTATCCAGTAGTCGAAGTGGGGTGTCGTATTCAGCCAATAACCCTACACAAACAAAACAAAACAAAAAACAAAAAACAAAAACGTTAAAAAGTAGAACGCGTTTTGAGTTGAGACATTAGAGTAAAGCACCAAAGAACACGTAAATATGCTATTCGGATTCAAAAAACCCACACGAAAATTGAATTCCATCATACTAGAATCGAAGACATACCCCCAGTGAGGACTAACACCATATCACTGTCAACGACGGTGGGAATGCGATGGGCCACTGTGACCACCGTGCAATCCTTAAAATCGTATCGTATCAGCTTCTGAATGGTAGCATCGGTGGTCGAGTCGATAGAAGCTGTGGCTTCGTCCAGGACGAGAATGCGGCAACGCTTCAGCAAAGCTCGGCCTAAACAGAACAGTTGTCTTTGTCCCACACTCCAGTTTCCGCCTTCATCCGTCACTGCAGTTGGAATTTCAAGCAAACGTGATCAGCAGCCATCTCTCTCTCTCTCTCTCTCTCTCTCTCTCTCTCTCGCAGCACAATTATCAATTCAAACTCCGGCATGATGTGCATATGAACATGGTGACTGCAAAGGGAGATGTTTAAGAAATCGATACCTGGAGCATCGAGCTTCTCAGGCATGAATCGAACAATATCTGCCAATTGGCATTTCTCCAATGCCTGTGAGGTTATCGAACATAGACCACTCTTAAGATCATGCTGAATAAATTCAATCTTGCCGAAAAAGTGGAGGTGCATTGAAACTCATTCTCTTAAATTCTAATTATTGCAGAAAAAGATGTTTGATTCAAGTATATTGAAACTATTGCCTCTTTTTCATGAAACCAAAAGAGAAATTGAGAGAATACTTAAAATGAGATGCCTGTCGTCCTGTACTTACCTCCCAAATTTGCTTATCCTCGTGCTCTTCAAGTGGGTCAAGATTGGAACGCACAGTTCCGCGGAAGAGAGTAGGCTCTTGTGGAATGATACCCAAACGAGATCGCAAGTCACGGAGGCCAATGGAAGTAATGTCAAGCCCATCGATCAGAATGCGCCCTCCCGCAGGCTCCACCAGGCGGAACAAAGCACTAATCAGAGTGGTCTGTCGCAACCACATATTAGTTTTCAGTGAAGGTCGCAGCCCATTGATGTAACCCATGCTACAGACAATTGTGAATTGCACCCAGTTCTCCGCATTCAATTAGAAACAAATACTAATTGCTTCTGATGAGAAGCTAGAGCATTTATCTTTATCACAGTGGTCTCAATTCCACTCATCTTCATCACGTTAGCCACCGGCTGTGAAATTTGTTTTTTTCATAAAATAAAAATGTAAATAAACGGTATACCTTCCCTGAGCCGGTTCGACCAACAATGCCTACTCGCTGTCCTCCTTCAAATGTACAAGTGATGCCTTTCAAAACGAGAGGAGCTCCAGTCCTATATCGGATCTACAAAAATAAACAGCAAATTATGAACGTCACGGCCAGTTCAAACTCCACAATATCAATTTAGATATAAGCCGGGACTTATGGAGAGCATTGGAGTGTAACAAACCATCAGGTTCTGAAGCTCCACTTTGCCTTGAGTTGGCCACTGGGTCGACGGACGATTCTCTTTAATGATAGCTGGAGCCTCGCTCTCAATCGTCATGTACTGCCGAATGCGCTCCACCGAAACTATCTGGTTTGCTAACTGGCAAACATACTGAATGAAGAAAACTAAGACACCATTTAATGTCAAACCGTATACAAGTGACAATCCGGCAAATCCTGCACAAGCAACTGAGTTGATCATTCAGTAGGGATTGTGAGTTTGATAAAGGAAATTTTCGACTTGCTAACAAAATAAATTATTGAATGTTTATGTTACAATGAAATCTACTAAGGCTTACCACCATCAATGCTATCAGCGGGAAGGACAATCATGAAAAAAGCAGAGGCTGCCAGGATAATAGCGCACAAGGTCTCCAACCGCAGCACAAGCCACTCGTAGGCAATGAAGGTATGAAAGTAGAGGCTTGCATCAATATCAACTAGTTGCAGATTCTTTTTTTCGAACTTGGGGATTTTCTCAAATGCTCGGATCGTCATTGCACCGCTGATTGTTGCAGCGAAGTTGTTCACGATTGGAGCTTTTGTGGTTCCGTTCATTCGCATCAATTCACGAGCTGAGGTCAAGTAGTATCTCTGCAAACACACACACACAGGGGAAGGGAAATGAATCAAGACATTAACACAACTAGACAGTACCAGGAACGAATAGGGATAAAATAAAAAGGTCGAATCAGGAAGAAGTAATAGATTATTACCTGCAGCCATCTGACAACAAGGAGCAACGGAAGAACGACGATAAGCACTTGATACGTGACGAGGCTGATAATGGCGATCACACCCGCAATTTCGAGGCCAATTTGGGAGACGAATCCGAATGCAAGGGGAACATCCACATCCAGCAAGGTCATGTCATTTGATAACTGCCAAAACAATCAAAACTGTTATTGCCCAGTTCATATTTCGAATTGTTAATATCAGTCCTTCGCAGGACAGCTTAAGATACACGTCTTAAGCCTTTCACTTGTGCGACAAGTCTCTCTAGAGACCCCTACACACAGAGAGCAAGACACGCAGCTTACTCTGCTCAGAATTCTTCCCGTGGGCGTTGAATCAAAGAACAACATAGGGGCTCGGAATAACGAATCTATCAATTGATGGAAGAAGTTCGTTGAGGCTTGCAAGCCGAGGTAGACACTAAACCGCGACCTCATGAAGACGAAAATTCCACTACCGATGAACAGGCTCGCGTAGACGCCGATCAGCATAGCATCGCCTGTTTCGGGGTCGTTTACTTTGGTTGCCATCCACAGGTTTGCCGACATTTGGCCTATCACAAAAAGAGCTTGGGTGATGATCCCCCCCCAAAACATCAACCAGCCCCGGGCCACGCGGACATACTCAAGATAAATGAACCAGCCCTGGTCGCCAACCTCCCGCTCCTCCTGGCGCGTCAATTGGGTCGCAGGAGCTCCCATTGCAGGCACAATTTCTCTTCGACTCCCTCTCCTTGACCTCGCCAAGCTTAAATTTCGCAGCATAGTCTCGCCGTTGATCTCCGACCCATTGAGCACTGGTTCAACGATCCCCGCTAATTCTTGCTTCTTCTCTACTTCGTGTTGGTTGACGGTGCTCATAGCGTCTTCATGTGCGTTTACGAGATCCCTGAACCCAAGGCCTTCATCGAGAAGGGCGTCATAAGTTCCTGATTGTGCTATTGCTCCTCTTTCCATCACCTTGAGAAAAGCAATCAACCACAATAGACTGAGTACGTAAATGCGTCGATTCCGGGACTGTGGCTCTATTCAGAAACCTAATCTTCATTCTTTCAAAGTTTCAATTATCGGTTCTAGGTATTGGTTTCATAGTAGCCAAGCAAAGTAGCGACTGCTGCTAGCACAATGCAGAAATGAGAGAGAGAGAGAGAGAGAGAGAGAGAGCATTGAAATCCTCAGCTGGGCAAAGGATTTTATTCCTCTCACACTTTGGATCCACGGCGTACCAGAATGAGGTCGACAGAGTGGAGAAATTCCACTTGATGTGTGACTAATATGACGGTTTTTTCTTTCAGGGCACCCATCACACAGTCCTGCGCATAAATTCGGGGATCTTTGATAAGAATGCCGCAAGCTTTGGAGTGTAAATGTCGAACTCAGTGACTATATCAGAAAAATGTATCAGACACAGAAGAACTTGTCGGGAGAGAAGTTTGCCTTGAAGAGCTTGGCAGCCGTGTGTGCATCCAGGGCACTGAAAGGGTCGTCCAGCAAGTAAATGTCAGCATCTGCGTACATGGCCCTAGCCAGTTGGATTCGTTGCTTCTGGCCTCCACTCATATTAATCCCCCTTTCGCCTATCTCCGTCAGGTCCCCAAAAAGAAACGTTGCTATATCTTGGTCCAGTGCACACGATTTCAGGATAGAATCATAGCGAGTGTAGTTCATTGGAAGCCCAAAGAGAATATTATCCCGGACGGTGCCTCCTTGGATCCAAGGTGATTGGGCTACATATGCCAGCTTCCCTGACACCATTATCTACAAGTAAACAAACAACCAAACAAACCCACAAGAAGGTGAATAGAAGGATTACATCCAAAACTCAGTTTCTTGGTTGATTGTTCTGTCTTTGTTCACGCGGTTCATTAAACTATGTTGAAGATTTTGTGGATTCAAGGAGATGATTGATCCACTCACTCTGCCAGAGACTTTCGGAATCTCTCCGAGTATGGAATACAATAGTGTCGACTTCCCTGATCCGACTGCTCCACAAACCGCTACATGGCCACCTTTCTTGACGTCAAGGTTGATACCACGCAGCGTTGGCTTGATCCTCTCTTGTGGTTGCCAGCTGAGGGCTGCATCACGCATCTCAATGGCACGGTCGGCATTTTCTTCACGCTCCACGCAACTGTCAAGCTCGTCATCTTTCAGAAACCTCTCGATCCGACCAAGTGATACTTCAACCTGCAAAAGAAACACGTTGTTTTGTTAATGTTGCGCAACATGCAAATGTACCAACTCTGTAAGAGCACACTGCCATCAACACGAGTTTGGAGAGTTCATAAAATTTGCGTGTCCGACTTTTGAAATTATCTGAGCTAGTTTTACCTCCCGAGAAGCAATGAAAAGAGAGATATAATAATAACAATAAAAATAATAATTACAACATTAGTGAAGAGAATTGAAAGCATGCCTGTATGACAATCGCAAGAAGCTCTGGAACCAGGCGAATAGGTTCCTGGACGATTCGGAAGGCAGAGAGGGAGGTGAAGACTATGGCAGGGGTGAGGTGGTGGCCCAGGAGAACGTAGGCAGCAAATGTTATCGATGAAACAAGCACAGGCGTCATCCAATACAGGATTGTACCTAGAGAGCGTCTCAAGTTTGATTTTTGGAGCCAGATAAACTCATTCTCACGGAGCTTCATCATCTTTGCTTTGAACTTTTCCTCCCATCCCTACACACACGCATCGAAAGTATGAGCCTCAGATGGTATGAGACCGGTGAAGATGCCAGGCTCTGTACACTTCTTAATGAAGCAACGCAATCAGAAGAGAAATGCATGATCTGAACAAGCGTTTTTCGTAGACATGAACGTTATTTGTCTGTGGGCTTATGTGAGCATACAGAAAGTAATTGCGGGTTTTAATCAGCGCTCTCTGGAAAACATAAGACGATGTCAGGAGTCCCAAAGCAACCTGGAGTTTGATGATTTTGATGCTGTTGAGTATCTCACTCGAGGCTCGGACACGCTCATCTTGAGCACCCATTAACTTGACTTGAAATATTTGTAGAGCTCGTGCCAGGGGAAAGTTGATCAGCATTGTGAGGGAGATCAATGCCAACCCTGCAAAGGTGGCCCAGCCCAGAGTGGAGAAGAGGATGGAAGACGAAATCAAAAGTTGAAGCGGTACAATGGTGATTTGATGGAAGTACCAGGGAAACTCTCCCAGCCTGTAGCAATCCACCGACATGTAATTCACGATCTCACCAGCCGCATGCCTTGCCCGACCCGCATTAGATAACCTGAGTCCATTCATCAAATCAACCAACCTTTGGTCAATCTAGCCTCACATTCGAATCCGAATGAACTCACGAATCAAGCATTGGAATGCCAATTTTTGTAGCTGGGAATTTTGCAATCTAACTTACCTGAGCTGCTTTTGATAGATGGCAGCCATGAGGCCCGAACGTAGCTTCATGCCCACTGTCTTTCCTCCCGCATACCAGTGCCGTTGGAAAACAGACTCCAAAATCTTGGATACAAACAGAGCTGCCACAAGAGTGTAGCCTTCATACTGAAACAGCCGCTCTCCACTTTCGTATTTGATGAAGCGCTGCAAGATCAGGGGTCCGAAAACAAGCATTACGCACTTCCCGATTGCTAAGAGACCATTCACTGCCATTGGCTTCCAATACACAGTCGCTATCGCTCTGAACACGGACTGCTCCTTCTCCGGGCGATTTTCCTTCTGAGCCTCCCATGCTTGAAGAAACTTGTGCACGGCAGTTTCTGCGTGGAGATCATCGCTCAAATCTGGGACGTCATCCAAATCCAAGGGGCGCTTGTTCCCGAGGGCAAGCAAAGGGTTCAACCAACTGAAGACTAAAGCACTGAAAGGGCTTTTGGTTGCGTAGAAAGGGCTTTTGGTTGCGTAGACTGTCTTTTCGGAGGTACTGTTTTCTCTTGCTGTTCCGTTTGCAGTATCATTGAGCAGAGGCTTGTTGATGTCATCCTGTTGGTACTCTCCATCTGCCGCCGTAAATCTCGCTTCCCTTGCGGCGCATACCAGGAGAAGAAAAGCCACCGGCCAATCGGCAATTGCGATGTAGAGCTCTGATGAGGGCGCGATGGCGCCATTGTAGAGGTCAATGAGAGAGAAAACTCTCGCTAGAGTAATGAGAATAAACGTCAGTACCCACCACACGCACACCACCTTCTTCATTGGATTGCGGAGCTTGATACTCAAGGAAACGGCAATCACGATCCAAGCCAGCGCTTGCACCAAAAAAGAAACTGGGTCGAGTGGATCTTCTCCAAGAGGTGCCCTGAGGTACTGATATCCCCCAAGCGCAGCATTTGCCAATCCAAGGAGCAAAGAGAGAACAGAGGTGACATTGTACAACGCGCAGCGCATCTCGAAAATTGACAGCAGTTGGGCTCCAGCTACTGCTCCGTGGGGAGTTCTCATAGATGTCGCGAGGAGGACAAGGAAGGTGATGAGGAGGAGAAGCTGGCCATAGCACACAAAGACGTGCTGGAAACTCTTTGATGAGAACTCAAAATGTAATCCTGAGAGCGATGCACGTTGAGTCAATTAAACGATCCCGTTCACCCGAGGGATCTACAAACAAACAAACAAACAAACAAACAAAAAAATTGCGCAAACTGTTCTCTATCAAAAATAGCTCTATTCAAACGTCTGAAGAACCTGAATATTCCTCTCACCTCCAACTCGATAAGGTGCCATAGCTGACACACTCTCCACAAAAATTCCTCCCCCGTGCACCCAGCTAAAAGAATACTTCCCAATTCACAAGTGGAAATGTGAGGCAACCACCATGACTGTAGCACAGTCTGCATGAAAAGAATTCCCACAAATGGTCAGATTATAACAAAAACATCGATACTGATGGAAACAAAACACTGATTCACACAACCGTGGGCGTGATCACTTGGATAAGTGGAAAGTTCGGTACCCGGCCAGAGACTCTTGAAGCAGAAAGAAATGCACAATTTAACTAGTTCATCGCAAGAGCGAGATTGGAAAAACTTCAGATGGTTGTTGATCGAACACCTCAACTGAAGGGATCCTCACACAGGTCTCCCAGGAAACTGTGCTTCGAGAATGGAGAGGCCCTCAGCGGGTGACGGAACCTCGTAGTCCGACACAGAAGAGGCTTTTACCCGAAATAATATACCATACAGATAGTTCCAATTAACGAGATCGCATCAAGGGACTAAACCCGCTGCAGAAAACCTTTTGAACAAGCTTCACGCATGAGCACTCCGAATCCGCCACCGCAGCAGCCCACGTTGCTCATGCTTCATGAAAAATTGCCCCGAAAGCTGTAAAATTCCCCATTGTCGTGTCTAGGGCACACTCTCTCAATCGCACGGAAATTACAAAGAAATCGAAAAGGTGAATTAGCGTCTATCATGGCCGTGTCGCCAGGACAGACCCAGCTGGCAACTCCGCTTGCTCCTTCAGGTCGGACTTCAGCGTTCAGTTCTCAAGCATCCATAGTCTGCAAACTCATCAATGCCGTCTGAAGCGAGATGCTTCACCCACAGAACCACGTGCTATCGAGTACTGCTACAGTCGACGAGCCGCATTGAGCCGCATCTCCGCGCTGCTGGTAGACCTTCAGCCCGGAGCCCACCCACCCACAAGCCCTCACAAACGTTTTTGAAACGATCCCGCGACAATCTGGCTGCAATTTCGTGCTTATCATTGCAAACTTCGAGCATTAAAAAAGACCCTGGCGCATTCACACAATAAGTGTCATTTCCGAATTCGTGGATGTACCCACTTACGGTTAATCCGCCGGATCCCGTGCGGGCTCGCGACAGCTTCGCTAATTCGAGCTAGTCTACTACCCTGCAAACCCGTTCTCATGATTCGAGCTAAGCAGTGGGTGACGTCGTTACTCTGCGTCACCGCTTCGACTGCCGCCGTCATTCTGCGACTGTTCGCGGCATGGCGGCGCTGCAGTTGATGCATGGATGGATGAATCGTGGATGTTTAATTAATCTATAATTAGTAGATGAATTATAGGGCTGGAGCTGCTTTAGTGAGTGTGGAGTCTGTGAGGCCAACAAGTCCCTTCTCCCTTCACTTTCTTTCAATTGGTTTCATTTTGTTTTTCTACCTTTTATATATTTCTTTCTTTGCTTTTAATTTTAAATTTTTTAATTTTTTAGTGATACTTTTTGTTGCATCATTAAAACAAATATCTTCTTTTGAACTTATATGTCTTGTTGTTTAACATGATTGGCTCATATGATGTGCAAAGTGTGGCACATTGGCATTGTGGAAATTGAAAAGCTGATTCAGGCAAAGAGTAAAGAATAAAAATAAAAATAAATTCTTATTAATCATCTGCAAAAATCATGCATATGATTAAGTTTATTTTGCATCTACTTTACATATAGTATTTTACAAGATGCAAAGATTCAATGAGGAAAGGGACCATAGAGGATAAATTGTGGACATCATATATTGCTTTATTGTGTCCTTGTAATCAGCATTTCTTTGAGTGTGAAAATATTTATGTTGGTTATTTTAGTATTTTGAATGATGCCGTGAACAAAGAATATCATTATTGAAGAGCTTAGAATAATTTAGCAGTGGATTCTACATTTTCCTTTTAACACAACAAGTTAACTTCTTGTGCCAACCTTGAAAATTTTAAACCCCATTGTGTTTAAAATGTGTCTTTTTGAGTTCGCTTCACATTCATGTCTACAAATGTATCAACACTCACACACCCATGTATATATGTGTGTGTGTGTGTGTGTGTATATATATATATATATATATCACTATTATGTTTGATATGGTTGTAGGTTTCAAATTTTGTAGACATTAAAGTATTCTTAGGAAAACTCAAACCTAAAGAATTAGAATAGTTTGAAATCAAGAAAAGAAAATGAATGTATTGGTCAATGCTTTGTGGTTTTTGAACTGTAATTTTTTTTGGAGGTAGTTAGAAAGTTCTACATTTTACACTTACATTTTATGAATATGATGCTGAAAAGCATGCATTAATTTATGCATTATCTTATTAATCACATGATTTATGAGATTCCACTATTAAAAGCATTATTTTTTTCTTTTCAATTTAATTTTAAATGAAGCAATTTAAATTCACAACTTCTACTTAACGAGCTCTACAATTTAGTGAGCACTACCCAATGCAAGTTTTTGTGCTGTATATAGAAGTTCAATAGTAGGATGAATGGAAAAATAAAATTAGAATTTGTCAGCCAACTTGCCACACTCATCAGGGATTAGCATTGTGTAAAATTTAAAAATATATGTATAAACATATATACAAGTACCTTGAGTTAGGATTCCTACTGATGTAAAGTTCACAACAAGCAACTAGACTCTGGTCTTAGCTAAATACTACTTACTCTTGAGTCTCTTTGACTAATATTTCAAACCTCAATTGCATCCATGGGAAATTTGTTAATTCAAACAGGATTGTGAAAAAATTTGCCAATTATAATTCCCAGTTACTTCTCAAACAAGAAAATTCAAAAATTAGACTGTATACTTTTTATTTCACGTTTTTATTATTTTTATTTTAAACCTGTAGGTTCTGAGTTGAATCCCCACGTTTGAAATCACTCACAATGTTGGCAAAAATTCTAAATGCATTGCTTAGAACCAACGCTAAAACCCCACATACAACTCACATTAAAATAAAAAAGTAAAAGGTAAAAATGGAAAAAAGAAAAAGGGAAAAGGAAATAGTAAATCTGCAGGTTGTGAGTTGAATCCCCACGTTTACGATCACTCACAATGTTGACATTTTGCGTAACAACCAAAGTTTGAAACTCTTGCAAAAGTCGATGATGGATGGATGAAAAAGTCGATAGGAGAGGAAGAATCTACGAGTTCACCTCCCACTTTTTCCTTTTCCTGTTACTTTAATCCTTTATTCTCCTCTGCCTTTATCCTTTTCGCTCCAACAGAAGTGCTTTGTCAGCGAAGGCCACAAACAGATGAAACTTTAAAGTGACGTAGGAGGGCCGTGTCAAGGTCCATCACTGTCCAGGGCGGGTCCCTCCGTTACACAACTTGTGCATGCAGGGCCGTCCCATCCCGGTATAGACTGCCCCTCCCATCCCCGTCATATTACATGGCCTCTACCGCTCCGTCCATCCGAAGCTCCCTTGCTGGATAAGGAAGGCCCCATTCACCAGCTCAGGACCTCGCCCTCTCGATAACTGGACGAAATGGATGAATGAATAAATGCACGATATGTGTGTTTACTAAATGGATGAATTCATGGATGGATGGTGTGTTTCGCTTCGCGCTACGGAGAATGAGAGGAATGGTGGTGGGACACGGCCGACACTGTAGCGGGGCGAGGCTACCAGCCACGACTGTATGTATCTCCACCTCGACCCCCGCTATATGCGCTTGTATCACTACCGAACTCCACCAAACCCCTCCTCCTTTTACTTGCGCTTCCAATGGCTGTGTTTGATTTCCTTGCTTTGTCCAAGAGGGAAAACCCTTTTTCCATATCTTTCCGTATAATAGCATCTACAGTATCTTTCGGTTTTATGGTATCAACAGTGTCATTGAGGAGGCTTTTCTGAAATAATGGCAGGAGCCACAATTGAAACCTCCGGGAACTGAATACCTCTTACATACATACATACATACATACATAAATAAATAAATACATAACTTGTGGTGTGGTATATGACGCGTAGCTCGCCATCTCTATTTTTCTTTTGGTGTTCCTTGTAGTATTAATGTGGACTATAACCAGTTGTGATTGGTATATTTACAGAGGTTCAAAAGAGGTGGCTTGTGGATAAGGGTTTAGTGAATGATTTTAAGTTGTCAGAAGTCCATTTGTGAACACAGTGACCTGTTTCATAATATGCAAACTTAATAGTCTGATTCTTATTGGATCCAATCTTTTGACTAAATGCTCTCGCTTATTTTGTGGGGTTGTTGCGAATCAGCATTGGATTTTGTTTATGCGTCTATATTTGTGGCACTTTATGGTGACCATCCATTAAAAGGCTTGAAAGTGCTTGTTTGCTTTAATCTATTCTATTTTATTTTATTTTTATGTCAAAAAGAAACCTTATCGTTTCTGTGGGATACAAATGATCCACATGTTGCCTTCTGAGTTGACAAGCCCAAAGTGAAAATAAAGTCAGAAGAAGTTTGTGAAGGACTCACCATAACATGTTTGTTTGAAGTTGTGGTGCAGTTTTGTCTCTTTTTTAAAGCTTTTAATATGAGGTTGATTTGAAAGAGATGTGCATCAATCCCTTCCCTTTATATCAAACTAAAAACAAAAAAAATGTTCTTTTAAAATCTTTTATTAGTTACAATATTTTCAATTTTGTATAGTATTATTATTATTATTATAGATTAATTATAGCATTTTTTCCAGAATTACAAAAAAATAATGCTGATTTGTACATATTGGTTTTGAAAGACAAAGAATGGGTATCAAACCATTAAACGAAATCAAAAGCTTCATTGCAAGAGAAGGTTTACAATATGATTATTATTTTGAATTTTTATTTTAATTTTTATATTTATATTTTTGGTATTTTATGGTTTTATAAGAAAAGTAAATTTATTTTGAAAAAGTTTGACTTTAAATGAAAAATTATAACTTTAAACACTAGAAAGTCATTTAAATATAATTCTTCTTAATGATGAACCTAAAAAACTAATAAGTTGAAAATATGATCAATAAATTTCTTTTACCGTATATTTCAAAATACTTGTATAAACATTTTTTTCTCTAAGATATATATAAATATATATAATTTAAAAATAGTATACATAAATGAATATTTTATAAACCTTTAATTAACTGAATTTACTAATTGATTTTAACTAAATACAAATTTGTGTTTATAATCAATATCACTTGAAAAATAATCACTGAAAATGGAGCATGAAAGGAATATATTTTTTCAAAAATTATTTAAAATGAATCATAATGGATTCAATTGAAAAAATCTAGAAGCTTTGTAAAATTGATTCTATTAAGTTTGCAAAAAAATATATAAATATATTTAAATCAAAAAGTGAATATAATATCTAATGATTTATAATTTAATACATTTATTAAAGTACAAGATTACACACACACACACACACATATATATATATATATATATAAGAGTTATTGTCCATGAAATTTGGACTTCCATTGTATTTTAAGAGATCAATTTTAATAGTTATTAGAAACATTCTTAAGTGCAAACTTAGTAAAACATTATTTATTTATTTGTATGGCTTTTATGGCATCAAAATTTGATTTGATTTTTTTTTTGTAGATTAAAGCTCTAAAATTCTACTTAGAAGACACATTTTTCTACCAATAGTATACAAAATGTGAATAGTATTGGTCACTAAAGTATTTCTTGTTAGTTGACTTAAATATAAAATTATCCACCTACAATGTTTTAGATGAAAAAATGCCACCTATATATATATATATATATATGTATATACATATTCCAGAAAACTTTGTTGATAAGTTTTTTTTTCTTCTTTTTTTCTTTTAAAATAAAAATAAAAAACTAAATTAGAATGCTAAGATTATAAACTAAAAAAAGGTCAAAATTTAGCAGATTAATTGTAAACTCATATAATGTTTTTTCACTTGGAATAAATCGTGTAAAATAAATTTATCTATCTTGTATGGATATTAAGAAAACATGCAAAATTGTTGCTGTTGTTGTCATTGTTTTCATCAAATCGTTTGTATTCTAATGTATTGAATCACTTTGTAGTCTTTTCTTTTCTTTCTTTTTTCTTTTTTTGATTACAATTCTCAAGTTTGTTATTAGTATACTTTGTTGGTATATGCATGTTCAAAATCTTACGTTGAATATTCTTGTTAGCTTACCACAATTTGTTAACTTACCAGAATAAAAAAAAATATTTAAAAAAAAAAAAAAAAAAAAAAATCTTAGATACACATTGCTACAACAATAATATAAAGCTAGAATAGACTGCAAATATTATACTGCACTTCAACATTTCATTTCCAGTAAGATTTCTGTCTTTTTCTGATTCAGAGATCCTTATATTAGTTATTTTTATTTTATTGTTACTACTTGGATTTGATTTAGAATAACAATTTATCATAAATTCTATGCATCAATCCATAAAAGAAATAATTATAAAAATAAAAACATATTATGCTAAAAGTTATTGAATAGTTTAGGATAAATTTTTAATTTCCACAAACCGATCAATCATAAATATAAAGTTTTAATTAAATTAAATATAAAGTTTTAATTAAATTAAATATAAAATTTTAATTAAATAATAAATTTAATTTAATTTATTATTTTTGCTTTTTAAGAATAATGTTCTAATTCCAAATCCAATGTGAATAAGATGAAAATAACTAATAGAAAATATAAAATAATCACTTTGTAATAAGATGTTACAAACTAGTTCTGTATGAATACCAAAACTGTGAGCACAGTAATGAAGTGTTTAAAGTTGCATAATTCGTAATTTGAAGTCTTCATATGACATTAAAGCACGTGGGAAATTGTCACATCAATGTGAAATTGATATTCAAAGTAGACAGGAATTCACTTTAACGTCACAATCATATCACGATTTTCTAACTAATTGTGGAATCAATGAAATGTTGAATGAAAATATCTTTGATTTCTGCAAGTTATGGTTTGTTCTTTGCAATAAAACATCTGACAATTTGTGCTTAGATGTGCATGTTCATGCAGTAAAAATATGTCGACTTCAGATTTCTAAAAGAATTAGTTTGGAATTGTTCAAAGAAATTCTAAGAAGATATAAGCTGAAATACAAATATGGACATACAATTGATAATTTTTAGAAAACACTTTTAAATATAACTGGCATTTCATGCGTAACGAAAAGGTACACCAAAATTGATACAAATCCAGAAAACAGTTAAGGAATTAATCAACATGTTGAACAGAGATTTTGGAAGAGAATTGGTCGAAACCCTAAACCTCTGCATAAACACTCGTCATTGACGGTGGATCCTGAAGTCAGAGTGGATTTGACACAATTAATGGCATTCTGCATAGTTTTCCTGGAGGAAGAGGGAGTGGCTCATGGTGTGGAATTCTTCTGAATGGAAACAGTTTAGAATCGAGGATCGTGTTTGGAACTTCTCAGTCGACTATGAATTGAAGTTGTAGAAGAGATGATTTTAGGATGTATCTAATCATCGATGATACGAGCAGTGAAGACTTGACTAGAGAATGTGAGGCTTATGGACTTGCAGCAAGCCATGGCTGCCGGAAGCGCAAAGCATGTTGCCATGAGAGATTTAAGGGTCAAAAGGGGTCTCGTGCCACATGAGAAAGATATGGTAGCTCTCTTCGAGAAAAAGGCTTAGTTCATAGCGGTCCAGCATAACACCATTGTTGGAATCCAAATGAAGTGGTACCTCTTTAAGATTCTGTTTCTCTCACTATGGAGGAGCCGCATGTCAGGCTTGCCATGGCCCAGCATTTGCATAAAGGTGTAATCGCTCGGTTCAGGAGAGGGAGATCGTCGCACACACATGCGAAGGTATGGACGAACACTTTCCCAAACCATCTTGACTTAAGGAGTTGCCTTAATCGGTTTTTATTCTCTGGTGACACTGTGTTCATCCAATTATAGTCCTGATTTTCACACCAAAGCCATGGGATTCCCGAAATCGCTCTCAGAATAGGCCGTCCGTGTTCATCTGGCATGATCCACCACTAGCACGCGATCTGTGAGAAGCATGCACACGAAAATCCACTGTCAGCAATCCAAACCCTAAAACAAGCCACCCGGACCTCCTCCTCTGAACTGTGATGCCATCCTGAGTTTCACAGTATTCAGTGCACACTTCCAGCGGCGATCCTCCTGCATCTGAAGCTTGGTGATTTATGAAGATGATGGGGATTAAGTCGCTTCAAAACAAATTCATGTAGCACAAACGGTCGTAGTTAAGCATGCTCTCACCTTGGCTGCACTGCTTATTAGTGCAAGAGAATACAAGGTCAAACTACCTCGATGCCCACCAAGTGCCCACAAAGTGCCCACAAAGTGCCCACCAAGTGCCCACCAAGATGCCCACCAAATGCCTCACATAATCTCCAATGTAGACGTCGCCAATCTGATTCTAAGGTCCGGAATCAGTCTATGGGGCCCACAACGTCGTTCCCAACTATCCAACAACCTGCCATCTCTGGGGGTAGCGAAAGATGGGATCGGAGAATGGCAGTCGGCGAGAAATCAGGCGGGCTACTCACAATCCTATTCACCCGAGTCGACCCGACCCGACCCCGACCCAAGTGTCAGTGAGGAACGATGCACGTCAAATCTGAACCTGGAAATCGATGCTGGTCATCACGAATCAGTCAACATCTCACACCTTTGTAGGGGGGGTGAAACACTGCACATCAAGTAAGCAACTCCGTGTCAATCAATCACACTTGGGTTCAAAGGCGCCTGAGAAAGCAACGCCGACTCCCGTCAGTCACGATCCTACGCACCCACCCCAACTGCCACGCTTTCCGTGTGGCAGGTTCGTATGCACCCACCCAGCACTCTTCCCATGATCGGAAAGGGGGGTCTTCATTCACCAGAAACTCCACTGCACTCCCACTCCTTCACAGACACTCCCACTTCCAACTCTACTCTGACATTCTTGCTGTGTGTGTGTGTGTGAGTGTGTCTTGTTGTTCTTATTGTTGTGTGTGTCTGCTTTGTTTGTTTGTGTGGTTGATTGTTTGTTTGTTTTCCCTTTGGTTTTCATTTATCTGTTGCACCAGCTTCTAATTTCTTCGGTGACAATGCCGATGTTAGGATGGAGCACCGTTTCATTTGGTCAACCATCAACAAAGTCGAGATTGTTCATGGGTTTTGTAGATCTTACAGAAAAAAACGGGGTGTGTATTTTAACACACACAGAAAAATATGTACGTATAAATGTATAGATACGTACTAATATTGGGTCTTTGTCTTGGAAATAATGTGTTGTTTTTTTTGAACTATTTTTTGTTCTTTTTTTTATTTTATTTTCCAGATAGTACTAGCTTATTTATAGAATTTATAATTTAAAGAATGAAATAGATATATGTTCATAAAAAAAATAACATACCTTAAAAAATTGACACATATATTACATCATGAATTGATACATATATTAATGTTTGCTTGTTTTCTTTTTTAAATGTAGTGAGTTTTTAAAGTGACATCCCAATTTTATTTATGCTACACCTCACTTCATGATTCATTCCATACATGTCCATTGTCTCTGATCTCACTTTCAACTCTCGTCCCTTGTCCCTTGTCCTCAACCTTATTCTCAATCCATGTCCCTTGACCCCATTGCCAACCTTTGTCTTCCATTGTTATATTACGTTCTTGCTTGAGAATGCATCAAGCACCTAGCTATAGAAGATAAGTAAAAATACAAAAACAATTCCACTAAGTCTAATAGAGTCTTAAATAAACTTTAAGTAATCTTTAATAATCCTAATCAAACTTTAATCAATCCAAAATAAATTTAAAAGAAGTTACAAAAGAAACACAAAGAAGTCATAAATTAATATTTAAAAAAAATAACAAAGAAATCTTAAAGAAATATAAAAATATACCTTTAAAGAAATAACAACAATCTTAAAGAAATACTAGAAATAAAAAAATTTAAAGAAATAACAAAAAATCCTAAAGAAATGCTAAAAATATAAATTCTAAATAAATCTTAATCAAATCTTAATTTATTCCTAACTAAAATCTAAATGAACCTTAACCAAATTCTATATCAAACCCTAATTAAAATTGTAATGAATCTTAACCAAATCCTAGGCCAATCCCCTATAAACCTTTAAACCCTAACCAAATCTGAGACAAATCCTATTCAAATCTAAGATCCTAAATAAATCTTAATAAATCCTTAATTAAATCTTAAATCTTCAAGAAATTCTTAACAAATCCTACAACAGATTAAATATTCAATAATCAATGATTGAACTATTGATTTTGACTCAAAATTTGCATATCTTACAACAATTAAGTTAGCAACAAGCACAAAATAAATTTGAAGAAGATTGTATATACCAAATAGATGATAATTTTAAAATTCTACTTGGAGGTTAGCCAACTTTCTTTTCTAACCTTGATATTAATATTCTTGAGCCACAATCTCTTAATTTCACCATTCAATTTCCTCCAAAATTTTTAAAATTGTTGAAAATCAAGCTAGCTACCTTTGAGAAAAATTGTATTTCAATCCAACTAGTAGATTGACAAGTGTCTTAGAAATCTTTATTGGTCCTCTGAACCTCATTTTTTAAGACCATAATCCTTAAAAACATTGATACGCTTCAATCTAATTGCTTGATTGACCTTAAGTTTCTCACACACATTAACAAGTACAACAAAAAACCTCCAAATTTTCACATGTCAACATGCTACAAAAATCACAAAATCTTAAAATTTGTAAATTTGCTTTTATTTCTCAAAATCTAAATCCACCAAATATATTACTAAATTTAAAAATCTTTCAAAATTTCAATATTAATCCAAATGATATGAAACCAACACTTAAAATTTTTTCCTAAAGTTTGCTCTCAAATCCCACTCTTTTATTTTTTAAAAAATAGAACTATATGATTTTTTTTGAGAGTTTCTTTAATAAAATTAAGAAAAATAATGAAAATAAGTCACAAATATAAATAAGTTACATTTTATGGTTTGATTTAAAATTTTATTTTGAAATATAAAACAAATAATTTTTTTTCTTATAACTAAGTATACACTTAATTTTTTTTTGGTAAAATTAATATTATTATCATCATTTCTAATTCTATTATCTTTCAAATTCTTTTATTACAACTATTATTAATATCTAAATTATCTTTTTGTTACATGCAAAATTCATTTATTATTTTATTTGTTCAAAAAACTCAAAACTTAAGTCAAGGCTGGAAATAAGGAAGGAAGGGAGGGGATGAAGGAGAAGCCAAGGTGGAGTGAGGACAAAGTGGGATTGGGTTGGGAATAAGGGACAAGAGATAGAAACAAGGAATGGAAACTAAGAACAAGTTGTTAAAGTTACATCTCGATTTTGTTAATGCCACATCCCTCTCCTTCCTCCTTCCTCCCTTCTTTCTACCTCATGATTCATTATGTACCTTTTACTTGTCTCCAATTTTGTCCTTAGCCCTTGTCCCTCATTCCTAGTCCTCCTTCCCATCTTCCACCCCTTTCTATTTACATAACACACCATAATTTTAAATGCTTTTATGTCTTTGTAATATTAAAAATAAATTAGAACTATAATAAATTTTGCATAGTTTTTATCTAATCACTTATCTTTTATCATGTTTACTTTTAAATAAAATAAAATATAAAATATTATTCAAGACTTTAATTATACATATATACATACATATATACATATACATTAAAGTTTCATTTGAGTAATTTTTAAAATAACAAATGTTTTTTATTGCATCAATTTTTTTTTATTCAATATTAGAAAAATGTATTACCAAATTTTGTATTTTAAAGATGTTTGGTAATTAAAAATGAGATAAGATTGTATTTGTAATTTTTAAGATAAAATTATCTAAAAAAATAAAATCATAAATAAAAACTAAATTATCAAAATCTCAAAATTTTAAAAAAAGGAGCACTACTACTAATAAAAAAAATATCAGAATATTTTTTTTAATATTTTCATTATTTTTAATACTTAAATTTAATTTATTTTTATAATTTTACAATATTTCTTTTTATAATTTGCATAATCTTTAGACATGATAAAAAAATATACCATTTTTATTAAATAATTTACTATTACAAAATAAAATTTTGTAATATGAAGTTGATTTTTAGTATAATTTATTAAAGGATATAAAATAAATAAATAAAGAATAAATAATTGTTAGAAAAATCTTTATGGTAAAAAAATTGGATTATTTGCTCAATAAAAAATAATGAAATAATTTAAATATTTTTAATTATTTTTTACATTTAAATCAGTTGAAAGTCTTTTAAAATAAGATCTGATATATTGCGGCATCCAAATATTTATGCTACTAAAAAAAGTATATGTTATACTTTATCTAAATTAGTATAAATATTAGTGGGCTTGGTTTCCATGTGATCAATTCCTCCCATAGGGATTCTAAGAGAAAATAGATACATTATTCTAGTTCTTTATCAGCAGAGAGGAGAATGAGACACTATCCCTATAGCATAGTGTATGCTTTTTACAACAATTAGTATTAAAGCAAAGTGAGGTGATCCAATAGCAATATAGATCCTAAATAAAAACTTTAAGATAGAGAGTTTTGACAAAAAGAATAATTATAGATTGTGGCAGAATAAAGTAAAATAAGTTTTTATACAATAACTATTCTACAAATTGCAGGAAAAAAAGCTTGCAAAGATGAATAAAAATAAGTAGAAAAACATTAGCCAAAGACCAGTAAATATAATATGTTTGAGTCTTACACATACAATGATATATTATATAATTTATAAAATTTTAATACTAAAGCTATAAGCAAAATTATAAAAAATTTATTTAAATTATATTATTGCTTAATAAATTATTCTTTAATTTTTTTTAATTTTTAATTTTTTTTTATTTTCGTATTGTATAAAACTTGATTTAAAAATACATCAAAAATTTAGTTGTAGAAGAAAAGTTTCTATAGCTTAAAATTATTTTATAATTTAAAAAATTAAGATGCTTAAAAAAATCGTATTTTTTAAAATTAACCATATCAAAAATACTTTTTTATATTTTTAAAAGAAATTCTATATCATATATTATATATCTATATTAAATCAATTTTAGAATTTATATCCTATCAAACTTCTAAAACTTTTGTATTATCAATTCTAAAATCTAAATCTTTTCACGTTCTAAATCTTAGCTCTTGTTAAATTCAAAATTGTAAACCTTGTCAAATTCTAAACTCTAAAAAGTCCTAGGCATAAATCAAAATCTAATTGGTAGATTTCAATATAAATAAAATATCTAATTGAATTGTTGAATTATCTTTAATTTTAAAAATTATTATTATCATTAAATAATTTATAGATTCAAAAACTTTGAAAGCAATTTAACCCAGTGATTGATAATTATTGCAATAAAACTTCCACTAATATTTTTTAGCTTCCTATTCTAAGCTTGATAAAGTATTTTAGGTCTCAATTCTTATTATAAAGTTTTTAATTTATATTTAAACTTAATTTAAGGCTCATTTGTGATGTGTTCTTTAAAAACATTGAATATCCTATTTATCTTGCTATTAAATCTTCAATTATCTAAGTAATTGGAGTTGATCTTGAATTGACCAACTTTGATTCCTTCTTGTATATGTAAACAAATATTCTCTAATTTTATTGTCAAATGATACAAAGCCTAATAATCACACATCTTATTTGTACATTTATACAATCACAAAATATCCAAATACAAATCAAACATAAGTATTGAAATTAAATCTAAATTTTAATTTATTCTTTATTAACTCAAAGAATATTTATCAATAAAATCCTAACTTTATTTCCTTTTTATTTTGTATACTTAGAAAACTTATATTTTTACAATGTTCTTTAAATTATCTATATAACCTCATCTCTAATTTATCAAAAGGACTTTTCTTTTCTTGTAGGTCTTTGTTTTGGTGCCTAAGAGTCAAATTTCAATCATGTCTCACAAATGGTTACTAATTGGATTTCAACCCTATCATTTTTACAAAAAAGTTTGTAAGAGTCTACCATTAACTTTGTCTTAGAGATAATTTGAGTAGTTTTTTACTTGTTCTAATATTTTTAA